GTATCAGACCGTTGTGGTAAAGAGGGAGCTGAGCCGAAAGGCAAAGCTCTCAATTTACCGGTCAATCTTCGTTCCCTCCCTCACCTAAGGTCATGAGCTTTGGGTAATGACTGAAAGAACGAGATCGCGGATACAAGCGGTCGAAATGAGCTTCCTCCGCAGAGTGGCTGGGTGCTCCCTTAGAGATAGGGTGAGGAGCTCAGTCACACGGGAGGAGCTCGGAGTAGAGCCGCTGCTTCTCCACGTCGAGAGGAACCAGTTGAGGTGGCTCGGGCATCTGTTCAGGATGCCTCCTGGACGCCTTCCTGGGGAGGTGTTCCGGGCACGTCCCACCGGGAGGAGGCCCCGGGGAAGACCTAGGACACGCTGGAGAGACTATGTCTCTCAGCTGGCCTGGGAACGCCTTGGGGTCCCCCCGGACGAGCTGGAGGAGGTGTGTGTGGATAGGGAAGTCTGGGCGTCTCTGCTTAGACTGCTGCCCCCGCGACCCGGCAACGGATAAAGCGGAAGAAAATGGATGGATGGATGGATGGACTTCAGCATGCTCTGAGTATGCTGCAACTAAAGACTGTTCGAGAAGCAATATCAGGAGGCTGTCTTTGCTTGTGCTGCTGAGAATGCAGGAGGAGAAAAGCCATGACTTCCTCGGTGGCTCTGTGTTGACTATTGCTACCTGTCTATCTGTCAGCCAATCTGCCTGCGTGACATTGGCCCTATGCATAAATAAGAGCCAGAACTGTACACAGGGAAATTGCATACATTTACTTTGAATACACAAACAGCAAATGCCTGTCTGCTCTCTGTATAAATGAATAATTCAGTAACATTGCAGCAAAACCCCAAACCTATCAGGAGCTGCCTTGCGAAATCCATTCTGCAATATTATGTTAACGTTGTTTCAAATGGCTTACTCAGCCTGAACATATAACATGTGTTAGAATATTTCAGACCATTTTCTCCTGGTGAGCTGAAAGTACATGCACATCTGATTATTACAAAAAGTCACATTCACCATTCCCATCACGAGTTTTCTAGTCAATTGTCTAAAATGAGGATTATATTACCTTTCTTTTTGAGATCAAGACCGTATCTACTATTAATCACACTCCCTGTTTTATTCATCTTTTTGGGTACTATACAAGACCAATGGGAAATGTTCAGAGGCAGTATGGGTAGTGTAGTCCCACAATGTGCTTGTCTCTGAGGCAGTGTGCTCCCTGTCATGATGGTAAAAGGATTGGATATGCTCTGCTAATGCTATTAGTGCTGCAGCTGGGATTACTGTCTCCAAAGGAAAGGGGAAAAGAGTGTGAAATCTTGAAAATCATTGTGTTGGGGTGTGTGCTTGTGCCACCGATTTACATGTCTCAATGTGGCGTAAAGGGAATTGCTTTAATGGAAGTATAGTGTGATCTGGTTTTTAATTTCATTAGCAGCTTTCAGTCCTCATGGGGTTTGAGTTAATTAGTCTATTAAGCCAGCCAGCTTCTGAATGTGCACATATTTTTTGTTAAAAAGGGATTATTGATTTGTTTACCCTAACAACACACAATTTGACTATTCTCTCTTTAGTCATGTATATCTATCTGTCGTCTATAGTACGGTATCACTGACCACTGCTGCAATAGCTCCAGAATATATCTCTAGAATAAGGTGCAACATGAGACAGTATTGAACACTTACATTGAGGCTGAATTTCAAGCGATCAGCATTTTCAGTCTTTACAGGAACCGTTGCACATTTCTTTAAGGCCAGAATGAAAATGGCTTCATAGAATTTTTTTTCATTTTTAAAGAATGTGGGACCAGCATGAAAGTCACCACAGTCGCTTTTTTCTGTTTCTCTTTTGCATGACTGATGTTTGGATCTCTTATGACACTTTTGAAGCAATTTTGTTTAAAACTAACTTTGTCATTCTAACAGTATGCAGGACTCAGTGATTTTCCACTTTATGTTTTGGTTATCTGAAGATTGAAGCAACTGACGCAGACGCTCAGAGGAGTGTCCATGTCTTCCTGTATAAAACATGCGTGCTGAAAATCTCTTTTTGTAACAAAAATATATGTCTTCTGTCTGTGACACAACCCCAGACCCCCGCATATTTTCTTTAAGCGTTTTGTACATTGATGTTCTGGACTCACCCCTCACAAACAGATTATTTCGCCCAACGTTTGTTTGTCCAATCAAACTGAAAAACTGGCTTACTTTGCCAGGGGGCTGCTGCAGGTGATTTCTTGGATGGCATTTTGTGAAAGCTATTGGGTAATATTTTAGTTCCAAGATGAAGCAGCACAAATATTAGGTTCTTCTTTTTTAACAGTATACTCCAGCCAATGTTCATGTATTTAGTCTTGACGTTTTTTAAAGGGAATTTTTAGTATTTGTTCTTTATAAACCAAACAAGGATATTGATTACAAATGGCTTTTCTTTTCAATTCAACCTTTGTGGCATCACCATTCCTTTTTATAATCCTTATCTCCTAATATCTGCTCCTGATCTCACAATGCAACTCTCCAGATGATTCTATGAATATTTACCTGCCGTAAGTACCGAGGGCAAAGCAGTCCACATATTCACTGCATATATTGTGTGTTTATAATTCAAGATAAATGCGTTCCTTAAGGCAGCGTCAGGTTTATGGATCAAACCAAAGGGCAAAAGCCGTCCACTCAAAACCTCTGGTACTATCATTATCATTGATCATTATTTTATTTTGCCTCAGTCCATACATATCTCTGGTATGTAGATGCCCTCTCTCTGCAGAACTACACATATCATATTACATGTATGTATTGTTAATGGAGTATGGAACGTCCTGACACAGACAGGCAATTCTGCAGCTATATTGCACCATTCCATGTGAGTTGAGTTAACAAGGAATTTTGTTTTTCTACAGCTCTTTTCAACAATCACATTATCGTCCAGCAACACTGCAACATTCATGTGTGGAATGCTGTGAGAGTAATGGTGCTGATGGGCAGAACACAACCACAAGAGGTCAACATGTTTCGGCAAATGTCTGACTTCTGGATCATTATTTATTAATTCTTAAACTCCACACTATCCATTCAGAGTGGATGCCTTGATCAAGGATACAACTGCACTTAAAAGAGATTTTCTTAATCAGGTGACTAAAGCAATTTTTATTCATTTATTGTTTTGACAAATACAAACAAACTACATGCAAACATATTTGACAGTTTGCATTTGAGAATTATTTAAACCGTTTCTTTTCTATTCTGTTTTCAGAAGAGGCATGTGGCTGATCCAGCCCCTGACTCATCCTCACTTTGTCTCACCCGAAAACACAAGGAAAGATCTTTTAAAAATAAATGGGTAAATATTATTTCTCTGTCAGATGCACTGCACTTTCCCGTTCAGTCTGCCACCAACTCGTCTAACTCCAGTCTCCTAGAATTACTGTGCGTTTGCACCAACACTCTCTCACTACAGAGCGAGCACTGCACTCACTGCTGTTTAGCTCTTCAAATATTTGTGCTGTAGTATGTTTTCATTAACAATCCAATGATTTTTGAAAATACTTTGCCTGAAGCAATGCTTTAGCTTTTAGCTTGCATATGTGTTTAGAAATATGAAAAGGATTGTTATATTTACAGTGATAAGTGATACTCAGTTGCTTCTTTTGAAGATCACAAGGTAAGGTTTTGCTGCACAAGTGGTAACATCAAGGTAAAACATGGAATGGCACTAACAAATATGGCTGTTTTGCAGAACCATTATTATGCAGACACCTAATCAATGGTCATTGAGCTTAAGGGCTACTGCAGCGTTGAATAGTTTCAATGAGCGGGGCGCCACAGTGTGTGTGTACGTGTTCTCTGGTTAGTCTTAATGTCTCTAATGAATAGACATGGCACATGGAGCTTGTGGACACCTGCTTCTGCCATTACTCCCAAAGAGCAGCCTAATCACGCTGGTTTTCAAATTTGGGCTGGTTATGCACTGCCCCAAAAGCACTACTTGTCACTGGGCTACATGTAAAAGCTCATGAGGCTTCTTCTCAAACAGCTTTTTCCAGTGTACATGTTATGATTTCTTAAAGAATAATTGTAGATGAAAAGCTGGATGTTGTGTTATATAAAACCTCTTGACTTGCTAAGACTCCCTGCCACCTGTTGCTGTAAATATTTTTGTTATTTCTATGTTGTATTTAGCACATAAAGTGAAGTGAGTGCTCTGTTTTCCTACCTGTTTCCATGGCTACTAGACCATATAGAATGATTTTAGTGCGATGGTCTGATGGTCAGTTGAAAACATTGTTTTAAATGTTCACAGTGTTGTCGTCATGCAGGTCTCAGCTGTGAAGTGCTGATTTACAGGGCCTTAAGGACAGTCATGGCCTCGGTCCCACTCAGTCGCCATGGGATACGGTGAGAGCAGATCTCTTTATCATCGCTGTTCTTCCAGTTTATTTTATTCTATAACCTTGTCATAATGTATTGACTTAAATTTACAGACTTATTTAGACCAATGGACAGCCAGAGTTTCTGCAAACATACAAAGCATTTCATTGTTGTTGTTTTGAACAACACTTTCTGTATTTACAATGTGACTGTTTTTTTTAAACAGTTTCTTGCTCGAATGAAGCCAGCCACTAAGCAACAGTTGTTTGCCTTTAGATCGTGCAAATGTATGTCTCTAATGTTATTGTAGCGCACACATTGTGATAATCTAACAATTGGCGGCTTATACAATCAATATTCTTTCTGTTGTATTTGGCTATTTGAACAGAACCCACAGAGAAAGCCTAAAGAGCTACAAGAGGAGAGAAACAGGGGGGAGCAGCGAGGAAGAGACTGTTGCTAGGCCAACCAGAGCCGCGCAATCGTCATCACGAGGCGTTCTGCATAATGCGTGTGTGTGTGCACGTGTGTGTGCGCGCGATTCGGCCCTCCTCTTTCCAGACAGGAGGCGAGGACATCCCCCTCTAACCACTGTGCCAGCGCGGAGAGGAGAGGAGAGGAGGAGAGAGAAACCCATGCCCCATAATGCACTGCACGCTGCAGGGCTGAAGTCGTGCACATTCATCAGTTCCCATTGGCAGCGGCGAGAGGAGAGGAGCTCACTCGTACAGCTGGTCAGAGAGAGCCAGAGTCACACAGCGCTGGGCAGGTAAGGCAGCTTCTCTGAGCCCGACCGCATGCTCTCGATGCTCCTGTTTACTTGTCTGGTAGTGAGAGGATGGGAAACACGCACACAATGGGATCAGCCATTAATATCTGACGGATTATGATTCTGACAACTTGGCAGCCTGTTGCTTGTAGCGTAGTGCGTTGAGCATGTGGGTAGTCTTTGTTAGACTGTCAGTGGAGCTGTTGGTTGACTTTGTGCTGCTATTCCTCCTACAGCTACTCATTTGAATAAACAGATACACGTTTTGCGTACACTCTAAAATATTCTACTGTGGTCGCTGTCTTTGAGAGTGATCATGCATGGTCGCTGTAGTGCAATGTTTCAAGAAGTTTTGAATCATTGCCGTTTGTTTGCTCCTGGATTCTGCCCTGAATCAATGAAATAAATATATCTACAAGTGTAAAGTATACTCATGTGTAGTTGGTGAACATACACAAACTATAATATAATTGCTGGTGCCAAGGTTACAGGCATTAACAGGCATAGATCTAGCTTTAAACACCTACTGTTGAGTTGTGTTGTTGAAATCAAAGGTGAATTGCTCATTTTATTTTCTCTATATATTTATGTATTATTTTCTATGAGCTATTTACTGTATGCCATCGAATAGTATATGATAGATATTGGATGTATATATTTTATGCATTTTCCTTATTCATAATTACAAACAGTAAGGATTTAATATGACCATTGCCAGTGGACCATGCTGAATGGCAGTTAAAAGGGCACGGTTCAATTTGTGGTTCAACAGACTTCTGTGGCTCGTGCCCATATCTTTTGCACCAGACACAAAGACAGGCTGAAAAATGCTGCAATTCAAAACGGTGGGAGTCCTGAACTTTATTACCCACTACTCAAATGGGAGATTGCTCTTCTCCACCCAGAGACTCATGTGTGACATCATATTTCCTCCACGCTGTCATAAAGTAATACTTCCATGGAAAGAGTCGTAATGAGATCCCTGAAAGTATTTTTTGCGCTCTGTCCTTGCTGTGCAGTTGAGAATATGAAATGCAAATGTAGATCAGACAAAGAAATCTGTTGAATATTCAGATTCTTCTCAATTTAGCTCAGACAGAGCTGTGTGTCGCGCTGTTTGTGCCTGCAGAAATCCACCTGTCAGGACTCAAAATGGAGAGCCTTCATTATCTACTTTAGATTGATTGGTGAGAACGGCACTGGCAGTTCAAAACGTATAAATTGTGACCTATGTGTCGCCTTCGACCACTAAATAAATGTGCTTTGATCAGTAAAGGTGAACCGAGAACACACCTACACACATTTTTCATTACTACAACAATACGAGATTACGCGCTCCAATTAATGTTGATTATATATGTATAGCTGCTTACATAAAAAACCCACATCATACTACCTTATGTCACATTACAGTGACATTCAACCATTAGAATCATATGCAATTTAGGCTTTTTATTTAATTGATTGTATTGCTTATACATAGCACAAGCAGCGAAAAAACAGTTTTGCTTTGCATTGTATTTGAATACTAACACGTCTGTTCATCAAATCCCTAAGTATTCTCTTAACAACAGAGTCTACAGAGTTCCAACTGATCTATTGTAGAACATTGAGGAGGCTGTCGTTTTTCTGAATGTGGTTTATTCAATGACTTCACCTCGAATGCTCTGTGTTTGAACAAAGGCCTTCTTCTTGGAGCTCAGAAACTCTCAGACACACTCCAGGTTGCCCAGCTGGATTTTCCATTTGGTAAGATCTGTGATATCCTCTCGCGGCGTTCGACTCTGGCTGTACAGAGTCGAACAGATAAAAAACTGATGAATGGGTGGATGTACAATTTTCACTCTTAGCTGTGTAAGGGCTGTTGCTTACACCAAGGGTTCAGAATATAGATATACTGTAGACATATAATATAGGCATTTGTTTTAGCATTCCTTTATATTTTTGATATAGAGAGCTTGCATCTTTTCTCTTATTGGGGTCAATAGCAGCTCTTTGCTCTCTAACCAGCCGGTTTTGCTTCAATGCACTCAGTGACACATGTAGGAAAGCAGCTGACCTTCTTAAGTGTCAATGCGCGCAACTCTAAATCTGTCCATGACATGTGCACCAGAAGTAGATGTCATGACAAGTCTTCCTGCACTTCACACACTGTGTGGAGGATGATGATAATAATAATAATAATCATAGCAATTATGATAATACAAATATTAATATTGATAATACTAATTATGATAAAACATTGCATAGAACATAGTACAAAAATACTGTATTTCAGGTGTCCCAAAGACGTTTTATATGACATTATTGTTTCCCCCATACCATGGAGAGGTGAACTACTGTTGTCCCAGCTGCCCTACGGCACACCAGGAGAAGCGAGGCAACTAATATGTGTCATCGGCGCTCTCGAAAAGGATTAGCCAATCACACACCCGCATTTCTTGCCTTAGGACACAACAACCGTTTGACACTTTACAGCAGCTGATGCATCTGACTCTGTTCCCAGAGGTCTCCCATCACATAACTAACCAGACATTGCCCTGCTGTTTGGCTTGCTTGTTTGTTTAAAGTGGTTCTCACCCCCGCTCCTCGGAGCTTACGTCACTCACATTTCCTGTTCAAATCTTCCTCTAAATGGGCGTAGCCTGGAGGACTAAAGGGGGCGTGAACGAGACTGGGCCGTTTACATTGCTCTGGGCGGGGGGCTGCTGACGTCAGGTCCAACTTGCAGACGTCAGGTCCAACTTCTGTGCCAGTGTTGGCGCCAGATTCAAAATTCAAATGTAGTAATACAGGTCGCCAGCAGATGGCGCCATTTGCACCAAAGTGACAAGATTATGACCAGGATATGTAGACAACACTATTGGACACTCATTTATACCGTTTATCAGCAAAAAAAAGTGGATTTGAGGGTGAGTTGTCCTTTAAGAGTGGCCGTATTGAGATGTCAGGAAAAGGAAAAGTGATTCTATAGGTATAATCAGATAAAGACTACACAAAAAAGCCGCAGGAATTGAACCCAGGACGTTCTTGATGTGAAGTACAAGCACTTACCTCTGCGCCACCCATGTGGCTTTGCATAAACTCACTTTTTTTAATCTGAAGACACACATTAATACACAACTCCATCCTCCATCCATCAGAGGTGCTTTGCAGGGTTTGCTGTGGGCAACTTCTCAATCAACACCTCTGCCTCTCACTCCACGCACACAAACCAATGGAGTGCTACATTCCAAACAGCCTGATATATTGCCGCCACAAGTCAGTGATGTAGCTCTGAGTCACTCTGTAACACCCACCTGACACACATACACGCACACACACACAAAACACACACACACACACACACACACAAACGCACCTGACGTCCTGTTTGATGGAGTTAGGCGTCATGGCAACAAAGCTCTGATTCTGAGTGTCCTCCGTTGTGGACAGGTGCAGCAGAGGGGCCAAAGGCTAAATGCTAAAAGGCTAAATATTAACTTTTCTTGTATTCACTGTAATTTACCGAACTGACAAAGCAAAAAGTTCATATGACATAGTTAATTAATTTAATGGACGCTTAGATAAATATGATGCATTGTTTTTGTCCTTAAATATTATGATGAAATAAAAATAAAACAGCAGTCATCTTGGAGGACTTTAAAAAGTTCTGGCAAAGGGAGGTGAAAGAAGAGGTTCGAGATTTCAAACTTGATTTCAATACTCAATCACAAATTTGATACCTATCATTTATAATGATCTTTTTGGACAAAAATAAACATTTGTTTTAACTCAAGATGATAATAGTTTTGATTGTATAGTTTTGTACGTTCTTCTATTATAGTTTCTTTTTCTTTTTTTTTGAAGAACCCAGATGAGATGATGCTCGGAGGAATATAGTGCTGCTGCTGGAAAACTGATGACGAACACTCACCAGTAATAGTAGACTTCAAACGATAATGTTCCATTAAGCTAAAGATATTTGAAATATTTTCCTATTTACAGGATTTTGAAAATAATCTTAATTTAAATCAAGATTTCATCTTCAGATCAAAATCAAATCAAGTAATGTGTTTTTAATCATCTGTCATTTTCTGTTATCTGGTTGATCATGTTTTTTAATGTTTTTTTTGCTTCTGGTGTTGTCTGCCAGAGGAGCAACAGAGGGACCCTTGATCAGATATAATCATTTTTATTAATCCCCCACATTTCAGTGTTGCAGCTCACAATACAGAACAATAAGGAGCACTCAAAACAAAATAAACTAATGCATGCACTCGGAGATCACATACCGTCCCCAACACCAAGAGGTCTACCTACCGTCACATCTACCAACTTACAACTATTACAGTACCCCCTGTTGGTGGTGGTGTAAAATTATTAAATACAAGAAACTGCTGTAAATAGAGGAATTAGGAAATAATGAAATTGTCTTTTGCCTAAAACACTCTAATCATGATAGCCTTTAGGAAAAAAACACATTACCATAAAAAGTAAGTAGGGGCAAATAGCAGGACTATGTTATTTTATTCATTTGCATGGGTTCTACAAAGACAACAACTTAAACATAAAACAGTATCCAAAAAGAAAATAACATTAATAAATGTCTCTTTTTTTTTGTAAATTTGAATGACACAAACTTAAATAACACGAGTCAGCAATAGCATGCCCATTATGGCTTTTTCGGAAAAATGCAATAAATTAATCTGTGAGCAAACATACAGTCTGCTCACTGTACACGAGACAGTTTTCACACAAACGTGTGTTCTTGGGTGCGTCACTGTTGACCAGCTTGTTTTTGGATTTTTGGTCTCTTGAGGTGTAAACATTGCAAGATAGCTTCACTGCTTCATATAATATATTTATGCTTTCTGTGTTCATGGCAAAGCAGAATAGAATTTCATTTTGGTGTGTTATGTAGTATGAGCAGATCATTTCGTTAGGCCATTTGTTTGATGAATGGGATGAATATAGAAAATCCATCCCATTCATAAAATGGCCCTATATCATGAAAAATC